CGACAAGAGGGATTTTGAAGGATTTGGGACTGACCCTAATGAGCCTATGTCTGTTGTAAAATCAATTGTGGCACTGGGGAGTTCCATGGGGTTGGATGTGAGTTTGGAGTATGTGGAAGAATTGGTGGAAGACCACAATGACGAGCTCACCACTGAGGAGCTGCAAGAGCTTCAGCAGGAAGAGCAACACATCGCAGCTCAGAATCTTGCTGCAGAGGAGGAGGAAGAGAGATGGAAGAAGGTGCCTTCTTCAGAAATTAAAGAGATTTTTACTATGTGGGGTAAGATGGAAAGCTTTATGGAGAAACATCACCCTAACAAGGTTGTTGCAAGCCAGATTGGCAACATGTACAGTGACAAGTCTTGGGCCATTTTAGGGAAGTGTTAAAGAGACACCAGAAACAGAGCTCTCTCCACAGTTATTTTGCGGGACAGGACTCCAGTGACTCAAGGTGGTCCTAGTGGCATTAAGAAACAGAGAAGAGAAGCAACCCCAGAAAAGCAAATGGTACCTGAGGTGTTGATGGAAGGGGATTCCCCTTCCAAACTATAAACAATCCACTTTCTCTTCCTCTTCCAGTCTCCCATACACTAAGAAGAATCTCTAATAAAGGTAAGTGTTATGCTGTTAATGTTTCATTCATCATTTCCCATTGTATTGTTTATGTACTACATGTATATTTCATGTAAAAATTTTTTTGTTTTAATACTTCTGGGTGTCAGGAACGGATTAATTGTATTTACATTATTTCTTATGGGGAAAATTGATTCGTAAACCGTAAACTTCGTTTATAGTAACGGCTCCAGGAACGGATTAATTACGAAAAATGAGGGACCACTGTATCTCTCCCGCCTGCGTTCCAGGGAATACAGTTTCAGGAACCTCAAGTGCTCCCAGTAATTGAGGTGTTTTATCTCCATTATGCGCGCTGTGAAGGTTCTCTGTACATTTTCTAGGTCAGCAATTTCACCTGCCTTGAAAGGTGCTGTTAGTGTGCAGCAATATTCCAGCCTAGATAGAACAAGTGACCTGAAGAGTGTCATCATGGGCTTGGCATCCCTAGTTTTGAAGGTTCTCATTATCCATCCTGTCGTTTTTCTAGCAGATGCGATTGATACAATGTTATGGTCCTTGAAGGTGAGATCCTCCGACATGATCACTACCAGGTCTTTGACGTTGGTGTTTCGCTCTATTTTGTGGCCAGAATTTGTTTTGTATTCTGATGAAGATTTAATTTCCTTGTGTTTGCCATATCTGTGTAATTGAAATTTCTCATCGTTGAACTTCATATTGTTTTCTGCAGTCCACTGAAAGATTTGGTTGATGTCCGCCTAGAGCCTTGCAGTGTCTGCAGTGGAAGACACTGTCATGCAGATTCGGGTGTCATCTGCAAAGGTTTGGTCATTTAGAGAGAATGGATCAAAGTAGAATGACATAGAGAGCATATAAATCTGTAGGGGAAGGAAGGCGGGTAGGGGTCGTCCTCTAAAAGGTTGGAGGGAGGGGGTAAAGGAGGTTTTGTGGGCGAGGGGCTTGGACTTCCAGCAAGCGTGAGTGAGCGTGTTAGATAGGAGTGAATGGAGATGAATGGTATGTGGGACCTGACGAGCTGTTGGAGTGTGATCAGGGTAATATTTAGTGAAAGGATTCAGGGAAACTGGTTATTTTTCTATAGCCGGACTTGAGTCCTGGAAATGGGAAGTACAATGCTTGCACTTTAAAGGAGGAGTTTGGGGTATTGACAGTTTGGAGGGCTATGTTGTGTATCTTTATATGTATATGCTTCTAAGTTGTTGTGTTCTGATCACCTCTGGAAAAACAATGATTATGTGTGAGTGAGGTGAAAGTGTTGAATGATGATGAAAGTATTTTCTTTTTGGGGATTTTCTTTCTTTTTGGGTCACCCTGCCTCGGTGGTAGACGGCCAGTTTGTTAGAAAAAAAAAATTGTATTCTAGGGTTGTTGGTCAATTCTTATTCACAATATTCACTTTTTTCGTATAGACTTTAAAGGTAAAGAACAAGATTTGCTGGGTCATTTGGTTTGGAGACAATGGATAAAATTTGTTAGTTACAGATTTGTCAGTTATTGTTACAATCACAGCAAACCAATCATATCTGTTTACCACAGTTGCCATTACATGCCACCTACTTCCCCTATTAGTCTATAAAATCAAGGGCTTACTGTACTTCATATCACATTTTCCTTGTTTGAAGAGAGCTCATTTTGAGCCCCCTTTGAACAATAGTGGGCTTTTCCTCAGATATTTTAATTAACTCTTCTTATAAGCAGTAAAATTGCATTGGGTTAGATATATGTATACATATAGCCAAGAGAGGTAGCAAAGTTGGATTAAGGATATTCACAAATCTTGCACATGTTAGAAGAGGGACAAGAAAAAGCTTATTTCCAAGGAGAAGAAAGTACTGTATTAGAGATACAGTGGACCCTCGACCAGCGATATTAATCCATTCCAGAGAGCTTATCTTTAGACGAATTTATCATTAGTCGAATTAATTTTCCCCTTAAGAAATAATGGAAATCCAATTAATCCATTCCAGACAGCCAAAAGTATTAAAAAAAATTTTTCTTTCATGAAATATACATTTCCCTACAAAGAAAATAATGAGACATGCACATAACTACATAAATAAATGTTAAAATGACACTTGCCTTTATAGAAGATTATTGATGAGTGATGAGACACTGTTTTTCTTGAACACTCTGGGATTTTCAGAGTGATACATGAGTAAAGGCTTCACTTTGCAATCCCCACTAGCATTACAACAAAACACTAGAGTTAGCCTGTCTTTCATAGACTTGTGTCCTGGGAGTGCCTTTTCCTCCTGAGTAATGTTTAACCCTTTGACTGTTGCAACCCCCAATCCTGAGGTGTCTCCTGGTGTCAAAAAATTTTAAAAATAAAAAATTATTTTTTCTTATGAAATGATAGAGAATCTTTCCCAATTGTAATGACACCAAAAAAACAAAATTTGATGGAAAACTGATGAAATTACGCTCTCGCGAAGTTAGCGACCTCGGTGATATTTATGAATCGGCTATTTTGCCCACTTTGATCCCTGTTTTCGGCTAATTCCATTGTTCCAGTCAATCAAACTTATAGCTATTTCTGTAGAGCTCCATTTTTTCTATCGACTGAGTACAAGAAACTGCCCATTTACTGATTTCAACTACCCAATAACATGGTCAGATATTTGCAATTTGGCCAATTTCACGAAAATAAAAAAATATGAGAATTTCAAAATAAGGTCCAGAATGAACAATGCAGACATTCCTGGCTCTAAAATAACATTTTCTTTGTTTATCAGTCATGTCTCCAGGCCCCTCTGATATTACTCTTGCTTTCTATTTTGAATTTTTATTCAAACAAAAAATAGAAGATTTACTGTTATGCAGACTACTGCAATATTGTAATAATTGTACAAATAATGTCATCCCATTCATGACTGCATATTAGAATGGCTAGTTGGACATTTATTGGACAATGACATCATTTGTTTACTTTTGAATATCGGCAAAAATCAAACATTTCCCCTACTTTGAGCTCCATTTCAAGGTTCTTTTTATAGTAAAACCAATCAAAATAGCCTCTATTTCTATAATATCTTTTCCATTCTATCAAATGAGACCAAGAAAACGAGAATACAACCATAAATACTATATGAAAATAGACCACAAATTGGGCATTTTAATTAAAAAAAAACGGTCAGTTTTTTCTCTCATTATGCACTGCATGCTCCAGGATTTTTTTTATATGGTGCACACTGACCACACAGACCCATTCTCTCACATGTGGGCCTACGTTAAACACGGTACCTCGTAAGATGTATATATACGGCCGAAACAGTCAAAGGGTTAATGTATGTCCTGTTTGGCATTTTCTTCCAGAACAGGCCTGTTTCATCACAATTGAACACTTGTTGGGGTTGGAATTTTTGAGCTTCGCCATGCCTTACACTGTGTATGCCACTACGATTCTTAAATCTCTCAAACCAACCTTTGCTGGCCTTAAATTCACTAATGTGAGCACTAGTTCGAGGCATTTTTTTCCTGTTCACCTGGGTGTTAGTCAACTGGTGTGGGTTGCATCCTGGGGGACAAGATTAAGTACCCCAATGGAAATAAGTTAGACAGTCCTTGATGAGGCACTGACTTTCTTGGGTTATCCTGGGTGAATAACCCTCTGGGGTTAATTGTTTCTCGGTAATTGTTTCTCGTTAAGCCACACCAAAAACACTCTCTTCACATCTTCGAGTAGTACAGCTGATGGTGGTGGAGCAACAGCTGATGGTGGTGCAGCAGCAGCAACAGCTGACTGTGGTGCAGCAGCAGCTGACTGTGGTATGATAGTATTTTGATAGTATTTCTCACACTTTTTACCACAGGGTTGGCACTAGAAGAAGCTTTCTTTGGGCTCATGGTGGCTTATTTAGCAGTTACAAGCACTAAAAACAATGGAATAATACAAAATTTATCAAATATAAGATTGGAACCATCCACCCTGGCTTGTAAACAATGACGGCAGGGCAGATGTGGCGCTCAGGCTGGACGGACAGGTTCGGGACGAATCATGTTGGTCGAGCTTTTCTTCCTTGGTCAGGCCAAAATTTTTATGCTCAAACGCCTCGTTGGACAAATTTATCGTTAAATGATGCCTTCGTTGGCCGAGGGTCCACTGTACTAATAGGTGTAGATAGATGGACAAATGATCTTAGAGTTTATTGGTGTAGTTTACACCATATAATACCACCTATTGCTTTATGCTGTAGACATAAAACATTGTCAAAAGAGGTGACTAAGATGCCGGGAGCAAGGGATTGGTAACCCCTTCTTCTGTATAAATTACTAAATTTAAAAAGAAAAGCTTAAGTTTTTCTTTTTTAGGTCACCCTGCCTCAGTGGGATACAGCTGGTTCAATGAAAAAAAAAGAAAAAAAGTTATACATTGTGGTCTCTCAGTTTTAAATTTAAATTTTAGGTACCCAAAGCTCAACATACACTCCGCGGCATTCATGGCAGAAGTGGCGTGACAAGCTTGTCTCTGCATGGGGACTTTATCTATAGCACCGGTCGAGATGGGGGTGTGCGTTGCTTATCTTTAAAGGATGGACAGCTACAAGTAATTACAGTCTCAAGAGTCAGCAGTGTGAATTGGGTAGCAAAGCTCGTATTCTTATTTGGAAGACCCTTAGCTGTTTGCTTTCATGATGTAAGTACTGTATTTATATGTATTCTGTTTTATCCCACAGAATTAATTTTTCATAATACAAGTGGTACTCCTTATGCTCTTTGTCATTCTTCATATTTTGTAAGTTCTGATAAAAATATGCTGTAATTTTTTTATATACATGTACATGTATATCTATACATTATTGAAGATAAATTGGAAGAATTACGTTCAAATGCAGAAGAGGATGCATATTCATTTGCAGCAAAATGTATATTAATGTGTTCTAAATGAAGTAAATTATTCTTATAGGTAAAGTTAATAGTATGGAGTTTGGAAGATGACCGATCAGTGGTGGAAGTTGAATGTGGTGGTGGCCATCGGTCGTGGAGCCTTCAAGCATCTGAGACAGAAGATGAGCTAATTTTCCTGTTTCTGAGAGACAGCATACCTTTTACTTTTCATACCACTCTGAAGGACAAACTTCTTCCTTTAATCAAGGTTAGTACCATACAGTATATTATTTATGAGAATTACTTAATTTAGTCCCTTATATATTTTCTCCTTTATTTTAGCTTTATATAACTACCTTAGTTCATATATTCACAATTGTTAAAATAATCAAAGTGCTATTCTCAGGAGCTAAAGTGTAATAAGTTCACTATTTTGCCATTAAAATACTCCAGGTGCTATTGACTACCTCAGGTGTTACTGATTTTGCTTTTAATACATTATTTTATTATTATATTCATTAGCTCCTTTATTTTAGCTGTAAATATCTACTGTAGTTCATAAACTCACTTGTTAAAATAATTAAGGTGCTATTAGATGCTTAAATGTGTAACTGAATTATCTATTCTGTAATAATCCCTTTTTCTTTCAAATTTTTACAAGTTATAGATTAATCACGGAGTCTTAGTCATAAGTCTAGTTGTAGATTCAATATAAATCTTATATCATTTTACTCAGAAAATCTAGTTTGTAAAATTACTCTCATCCTATGATTACAGGCATAGATCCTGATGTAAACTTTTTACAAAATGAATTACACGAATCAACCAGTAACTGTAATTATTACACAGCAGACCAAGCAAAGACATTACTCAGTGCAAACAATAGCATAACCATCTTTAACTACAATGTCAGATCATTGAGCAAACATTATGATGACCTCACAGCATTACTCAGTTCCCTTCATTCCAATATATCAATCATCACGCTCACAGAAACCTGGCTTAAGCCTGATATTACAGATTTCTATACCATTCCTGGCTACATGGCCATACACAACTGTAGAACAGACCAGCAAGGGGGAGGAACAGCTATATACTACTAAAATCAACTCGAATGTATCAATAAATCTTGCACAAGGGACGAACATGGAGAATATATCATAGCCAAATTTAAATCAAAAGACCTGCAAAAAATCCCTCACAGTTATAAACATCTACAGAGTACCACAGTCAAACATTTATCACTTTAGTGAAAAACTAGGAAACATGATTACTGATGCACACATGAATAAAGACTACCTGCTACTAACAGGAGATTTCAACATAAACATACTACACGACCAGGACCCACAAGTAACCGAATTCACAAACACAATGAGTAACTGCCTTTTGCTACCAGCAATATCTAAACCTACAAGAATCTCCAAGACAAGTATCTCCTTAATAGACCACATCTGGACAAACACCATATCCCTTTTAAAATCAGGCATAATCACAGACAACACTACAGACCACTACCCAACTTTTCTCATAACTATTCTGGGCAAACTGCCACAAGACATTAGTAAAGTAACCTTCAGACTACATAACGAGACAACAGTTAACAACTTTATAGCAGCTATGAATAACACTGATTGGCAAAATGAGCTTGAAACATATACAGATATGAATGAATGTATAAATAATTTTCTAAAAAAAAAGCCCAATGCCTCTACAACAGACATTGCCCCAGAAAAACTAAACAGATCACAACAAAGAGACTGAATAATCCCTGGCTAACACCAAGCATCCTCAAATCCATTAGCACAAAGCACAAATATGAAAAACAGTATAGAATGGGTCAAATAACAAGAGAACAGTCGAAAAGTTACTCGTCAGCACTTACCAGCTTGATAAGAAGGTCAAAAAAATTGTACATTATGAAAATAGATTACATAACATCAAAGGTGATATGAAAAAAACCTGGAAAACTCTATCTGAAATTCTTGGAACTTAAAAGTTATCCAAAAACAAAGCAATCAAACTAACAAAATCAGATGAACACCTACTCACTCCAACCAAAACAGCAAACAGACTTAATGTTTTATTCACCATAGATAAAAATCTAGCAAACAAAATACTAAGCACAAACACCCATCCATCAGACTACCTCATAGGTGCCTACCCAAATATGCTATTCCTAGCTCCAACCAATCCCATTGAAGTAAAGCTCATCATAAACACCCTTAAAAACAAGGCAGGAGACATAAACAACTTGCCTGCTTTTATGTACAAAAGAGCTTCTCAAGTATTGTCACCAATTATTGCAACGCTCTTTAACAAATCCATTGAATCATCTACCTTCCCAACAATCCTCAAAATAGTGAGGGTCACTCCAATCCATAAAGGAGGTGACCAAGCTGACTTGTATAACTATAGACCAATATCTAACTTACCACTGCTCTCTAAAATCTTTGAAAAATTAATTCATAGACGGATCTATTCCTACTCGTTTCACACAACATATTAAACCCTTGTCAGTTTGGATTCAGGAATAATAAAAGCACAAATGATGCTATCATACACATTCTAGAACTAATATATATCGCACTTGAAAAGAAAGAAGTCCCGCTGGGCATTTTCATTGATTTACGTAAAGCTTTCGATACAGTCGGCCATGAACTGCTGTACTCCAAATTAATGCACTATGGTATCAGAGGCCACTCCCTCAACTACCTAAAGTCATACCTTAGTAACAGAACTCAATATGTGTATGTAATGTAACCATATTTTTCCCATAAGCTCTTTAGTTTATTTAACACGGATTGATCTAACACTTCATCTTCAGGAATGTAACTACTGTGTAATATGAGGGTCTGCTATATGTTAAATAAATTTAAAAAATATTTTTGTTAAAGAGTAGCATTTCTTTATACATATAGTTTCTGGTACTTACATGATGTTATTAAAGTTACTGTATCAAATCCATTTTCAGAGCCCAGTGAACACACATGAAACCATGTGCCTACAGATACTTTTCCAACATGGCTTCGAGACGATATTTGCTACAGGAGGTGAAGACACAACGCTGCGGCTTCACTCCATTTTGGGCTCTGAAAATTGTAAAGCTCTGAGTGTTATTCGTAGCCATATATCCAGCATCAAGGCATTGTGCCTGATAGAGAGAGGAGAAAGAGCAGCTGTTGTTGAGGGCAAAGATTCTTCAATGTGGATGGTGTCTGCTGGGGGACGTGCACAGGTGAAAGTCTGGAGGACTGTTCTTGGTACGTTTACAGATCAAAAGGACAAATTTTTCGCAATACTTAAGGAAATGTGTCACAAACATATGAAAATAAACTTGAAAGTAAATTTAGCAAATTATGATTAATATTTCAATTCAATATTTTTTTTTTAGGGGAGCTAGAAATTTTGAGAAACTTTGGGAATGAAGTCCATAATGACAGTAGCATCGAAAAGCTATTCAATAAAGATGTCATATGTCAAGAAGTTACATCTCACATGTTACGTACTGGCTCTCACAAAACCTGGAAGAGTCAAGAGTTAACCTTTGACCCCGAAACACGCTTTATGGATGCCACTGCATTTTGGCTAACTGAAACTAAAGCTTTATTGGCATTGGCATCCTCTGATGGGCTCCTAAGGTATTTGTGAATTAATTATTTTTTTTAAGTGGAAATCATTAATTAATGTTTTTTTCTTTTTTGCTGTACGGGTACTAGATACTGAAAATTAACTTTTTAAATGAGTAGAGTTGTTTACTAATTTTAAAAGTTACAGTTGTAAATGTATGAAAATCACCAATGGTTTCTTGATGTTTTTCCTCTTAGAAAAAGCTGCTGATATTTGGGGGTAAAAGTATTGTTAAAATTCTGAATGATGTAGAACACTTTTCAGAAAGTTCCTGTACTCTGTTTGCCCCTGTGCACTTGGTAATGATTACCATCTGATGTTTAAGACACTTGTTTGCCAGCTAAATATTTAAGGAATGAAATTCATTTCTTATTTGATATCCTCACAGTATTAGTATGAAAAGTGCTAGAGCTTGCCTCTCTTTGAAAATGATTTCCATTTCTTAACCCGTAAACAGTCCAAACGTATATATACGTTCTTACCACTAGTGCCCCAAGTGTATATTTACGTTTTAATTTTCCTGCCTCCAAATTTGGCACAGTTGACCTGAGATGCCTGATCAGCATGGAATGGGTCATAACACTCGGTGTGCGCAGTATTAAAAAAATCTAGGACCACTTAGTGCCTTGTTGGAGCACCAGTTAAATTGAGCGCCAGCTAGAGCAAACATTGCGACAAACACCAAGAATTCACTGATGTCATGTCATATTAACACTCCCCTTTTATGAGGAAAGTGATGTTGACCCCAAGTTTAGTGGCTTTGAGGTGGATGTGGCCACAAGTGGTTGCGGAAATATAAAAAACTTCAATAATAACCCATGTGCAACATTTGTGCAACACCCTTTCAATTTTGGTACCACTGGTAGTCATCCTGCCAGAATGTCCTATAACCTATGCCCTAAGTAAAAAGAAACAATTCTGGAACGTGTAATGCATGTTCGGCAGGCTGACTGACTGACCACCTGGCTGGCCAGCTGGCTGGCTGATTGGCTGTCTCTATCTCCATCTGTCTGTCTGTATCTATCTGTCTATCTCTTTGTCTCTATCTCTGTCTCTATCTCACAGGAACACATACGTAAATACAATTATACATAGTGTAAATGGCCTTGGATAACCCAAAGATCCAGACAAAGTGCTATACTGTGCTTGTAGATAGTGATTGTGTATAATACCAGTTGGTTCATGAGCAACTCTCTGAATAACAAAAAAAGGCACAATACCATGACTGGAACGATACACAAATAACCCGCACATAGAAGAGAGGAGCTTGCGACGACGTTTCGGTCCGACATAGACCATTTACAAAGTCACACTAATGAAAAGGAGAGCAGGAAGGGTATGTATAGGCAGGAGGTAGTAGTAGTAGTAGTGGAGGTGGAAGGAAGTAGTAGTGGGGAGGTAGTAAGAGGAGGAGGAGCCAGTCAGATACTAAGAAAGAGGAGCACTGCAAGGGAGCTAGGTGCCCACAGAGGGCAAGAGCAAGAACACTGAGGGGGGAGGAATAATAAAGAAGGAACAGATACACAGGGCAGAAGAAAGACAACCCAAAGGAGAAAAAGGAAAGAGGAAAGGGGAAGAGGGAGTAGAAGAAAAAGGAGGAATCAGGTTAGGTCACGGGTGTTTTGAAGTTTTGAGCATTTTACAATGTAGTGGGAAAGAAAGGCATCTACAGAGACGAAGGCAGGAGAGATAAGAGAGACAAGCAGACAGAAAAACACATAGGCAGACAGAAAGACAGACACACAGACAGATAGAGAGCTAGAAAAATAGACAGACAGACAGAAGTGAAAACAAATAAAGCAAGGCAGTGTACACTCATCAAATGTCACCACCATCATTAGTAGAGTGATAAGGTAAGATGAGCTCACCAAATATCACCACTGTCAGCAGTGGAGTGATAAGGGAAATTATTATTATTATTATGCACTATTATTATTATTATTATTATTATTATTATTATTATTATTATTATTATTATTATTATTATGCACTGTCATCAAATGTCACTCCCACTGCTTACTCTGTCAGCAGATAAGTGACACTCATCATAAACACCATGCTTCAAGAAGTTTCATATAAGTATACTCCAGCATGTCTAAAACATTGCTGGGACCTATAATTACAGTGGAACCTCTACTTATGAGTGCATCCACGTGCGAGTTTTTCCAGATACGAGCATCTGCTCGGTCGATTTTTTGCTTCCAGACGCACGCAAAATATCCAGATGTGAGCGGGCCTCAAGGGAGGTTAATTGACACTGGTGAGGGGGCTCTTGCTCTTGATCTAGGGAATTGGATCTCAGTTGTTTGATGGACTATCTTATTGAAACTTGGGCAATGTATAATGAAAAGATGCTTCGTAACGTACACCAAAAATGAAAGAAATCGGGCCATAAATAACGGAGTTCACTTCTCAGCCATTAGCCTCCTCTTAGCAGTATATTTTTGTATGGTTTTTATGGTTATATTCTCGTTTTATTTGGTCTCATGTGATAGAATGGAAGATATACTACAAAAATAAATTTTTATTAATTTATTAACACACTGGCCGATTCCTACCAAGGCAGAGTGGCCCAAAAAAGAAAAACTTTCACCATCATTCACTCCACTGTCTTGCCAGAAGGGTGCTTTACACTACAGATTTTAAACTGCCACATTAACACCCCTCTTTCAGAGTGCAGGCACTGTACTTCCCATCTCCAAGACTCAAGTCCGGCCTGCCGGTTTCCCTGAATCCCTTCATAAATGTTACTTTGCTCACACTCCAACAGCACATCAAGTATTAAAAACCATTTGTCTCCATTCACTCCTATCAAACACGCTCACGCATGCCTGCTGGAAGTCCAAGCCCCTCGCACACAAAACCTCCTTTATCCCCTCCCTCCAACCTTTCCTAGGCCAACCCCTACCCCGCCTTGGTTTCACGATGAAAAGTACCTTGAAATTGAGCTCAAAATAGCAGAAATGTTCAATTCTTCGGCAACATCAGTGGTAGACATCATGAGGTAGCAGTGACAGACAACATGAAGCAGCAGTGGCAGACAACATGAAGCAACAGTGGCAGACATAATGAGGTAGCAGTGGCAGACAACATGAAGCAGCACTGGAAGATAAGATGAAGTAGCAGTGGCAGACAACACGAAGCAGCAGTGACAGACAACATGAAGCAGCAGTGACAGAACATGAAGCAGCAGTGGCAGACAACATGAAGCAGCAGTGACAGACAACATGAAGCAGCAATGGCAGACATCATGAGGTAGCAGTGGCAGACAACATGAAGCAGCAGTGGCAGACATCATGAGGTAGCAGTGGCAGACAACATGAAGCAGCAGTGGCAGACATCATGAGGTAACAGTGGCAGACAACATGAAGCAGCAGTGGCAAAGTGTAGCATTAAGAGTGTAGCAATTAAGTGAAGCATTAAGAGTGTAGCACTTATAAGTCATTCTGTCTGACTTTTTGGGGTTATCCTAGGTTCTCTACACATGTAGTCAGGAGCAGGAATGGCTGCTGTGGTGGCCCTATAAACCCCAACAACAATGGCTGCTGTCACCACCACTAGCCACATACCTCAGCTGTGGTCTGATGCTGTTCCAGTTGAAGCTCTTGCAGTTCGTCAGTGATTAGCTCTTCCCTGTGGTCCTCCACCAACTCTTCCACATCCCCGTCACTCACTTTATTTACCATAGGGCTTGCACTAGCTTTCTTTGGGTCCATGATGACTTATTTAGAAGTTGCAAGCACAAAAAAACAATGGATTATTATGAAATGTATTGTATGAACCTGTGGGGGTGATGGTCACGTGTTGGTAAACAATGGCACACTGAGTGTGAATGGCGTGGGAGACTGGCTTGGTGTGCGAGGTGATGGGCGGACGGTCGCCGAAACAAATCTTTTCACGAAACTCGAGGCCAAATTTTTCCAAAAAAACTCGCCGAAGGTCGAATTTCACGAAAGCCGAGGCTGCCGAAACTCGGGGGTCCACTGTAGATGGATTAATGAAAATGTCTATATTAATGTAAAACAAGACATTTAATCCTTTGACCATTACAAGCCCATTTCTGAAACTGTCATCCTGTGTCGCAAAATTTTTGGAAAAGAAAGAAAAAAATTTCTCATGAAATGTTAGAGAATCTTTTCTCAATGCTAATGACACCAAAAGTATGAAATTTGATCGAAAACTTACAGAATTACGCTCCCACGAAGTTAGCGATCTTTGTGATATATACGCATCAGCGATTTCGCTGACTTTGAGCCCTATTTTTGGCCAATTCCATTGATCCAGTCGACCAAACTCATAGCTGTTTCTTTAGAACTCCATTTTTTCTATCAATGGAGTACAAGAAACTGCCCATTTACCGATTTCAACTACCCAATAAAGTGGTCAGAAATTGGCAATTTGGCCAATTTCATGCAAATTAAAAAATATGCCAATTTCAAAATAGGGTTCAGAATAAATAATGCAGATATTCTTGGCACAAAAATAACATATCCTCTGTTCATTTGTCACATCTCCAAGCCCCTCTTATATTACTCTTGCTTTCTATTTTGATTTTTTATTCACACAAAAAATAGAAGATTTACTGTTATGCAGACTACTGCATTATTGTAAAAATGGTATAAATAATATCAGTTCACTAGTAAAATAATATTAGACTCCCCAGTTGACGTGTATTGGACGTGTGGTGTGATTTGCTTACTCTTGAACATCGGTAAATATCGAACATTTCCACTATTTTGAGCTCAATTTCAAGATCATTTTCATCGTGAAACTAATCAAAATCATCTCTATTTCTGTAATAAGTTTTCCATTCTATCAAATGAGACCATGAAAACGAGAATACAACCATAAATACTATACGAAAATGCACATCAAAGTCGGCATTTTAATCCAAAAATACAGTTGGAGTTTTTTTTTTTTCTCATTATGTACTGTGTGCTGTAGGACTCTTTTTATACAGTGCACACTGACCACACACACCCATTCTCTCACATGTGGGCCTACCAGTTTT